TGCCACGACAAGGCAGTGATCCATGAAGGGACAAGGCAGTGATCCATGAAGGGGCCACATAAATATACTGATAGATAAATGGATATGCAAATAACCCAAGAAAACACCATCTTCTCTCCCAATTCTTAAAATATTTTTCTGTAAACCCCTTCACTGGTGTTTGGTTGTTTGCATGTAAGTGTTTGAATGGTTAAATATCTATTTTCCTAAGATAGATAGATCAAGTCATGATGCTTGCATCTGAACTATCTATGTGGCAGCTTTTTTTCCACTTTACAGAGGTCTGCATATCTAAGAATCAAACAAGGAATCTATTTATTTTTAAGACCCTTCCTGATCCACTGATACGGTATCACAAACACAAGGGCCAAAATTAGCTTAAGGGATGTAGTACAGTGTGTTAGCAAATTAGTTGTTAGGTCAATTCCCCCCACCCCCCACCCCCACTGAATCCTTTTGTTTCAATTGTCCTTTGAACAATGGCTTTTTCTTGAGATTTTCTGTATTTGATTCACTAATATTCTCAACCAAGTTGAATAGTGCTGAAGATGCTTTTTTCTGTCACGCGGTGTTATTCCCTTCTCTTTCCTTTCCTTTCCCTGATCTCTCTAATGACAAGCAGGTAAAAGGATCAGAGGTAATTTCAGAAAATTAGCTTGAGGGAATGAAAGAGTGGTAAAGACCACTGTGGGGATAACAAAAATATTGCTTTTGGTATTAGGTACAACACATCTGTGATTAAAAGTTAGAGGAGCAAATGGAATAACAGGAGAAGTGTTAGGGGAGCATCTGCCCACTCAGGGCCCACTTCTGACCTGTGATTTGGCTCATCTTCTGGTCTTGTTAGGAATTTCAAAAAGGTGCCTTCTTTTTTCTTTTTTTCTTCAAGTTTTTGAGCTTTATGATTTTCAGCCTTGGACATTTTTTAAGACATTCTTGGACATTTTCACCCTATTTACCCTGCGAAATTACCTGTCACCTATTTGACTTGGAGTCAGGTGGGTGGCTGCTGCCAGCGGGGGGGAAGGTGTGAGTGGCTTACTGGAGTGACCTGCAACCTTCCCTGCTGGCTTCCCCGTAGACTTTGCTTGTGGGAAGCCGGCAGGGAAGGTCGCAAATGGCAATCACGTAACTGTGGGATGCTGCAATGGTCGTAAGTTCGAGCCAGTTGCCAATCACCCAGATTGTGATCACGTGACTGCAGGGTTGCTGAGATGGCCGGAACTTTGAGGACCAGTCATAAGTCTCCTTTTTCAGTGCCATCATAACTTCCAGCAGTCACTGAATGAATGGTTGGCAAGCGAGGACTACCTGTATCTATTTAGATAAAAAGTGGTAGTCCAGCTTTGCAGCTCAGGCCTATTTCTTGCTACATACCTAAAAGAAGATTAGCTTCTGATGGTGGCAAAAAAGATTATGTCAGCGGAATCTCCTTTATAAGATATTGCTGAAACATTAGAGTAGAGCAGAGATGCACACCCTGCAGCACCAAGGCCCCATGCCACTTCCTGAAAGCTTGGACGTGGCCCCCGAGTCCCTACAAAAGATGTCACTAACTTTTTAATGCAGTAGAAGGAGAAACTTTTTTCATATTCCAATTAAGTGTATTTACTGGATACATTTTGTTTTAAAAGCATGTAAGTTCAACTATATTTAGTTTTTATATTGGTTCTGCCTGCTTTATAGAGTGTGGTTCCAGCACGCCAACTAAAGAGCCAAGCGTGGCCCAAAAAATCTTAGGCATTCCTGTTATATAATACTTTGAATGGTTATTGTTTATTACTTATAAAGAATTAAAGCCAGGACTTTTCTGGACAATCAGTTTAGAGTTCAGCCATTTTTCAGGTGTTACATGTAACATGCCTTGTGATTTACTTATTGAATATGCTTGTGGATCCATGTGTTCAGAGCCATGCAAATATGCAGTAAATGTCATAAGTTTTTAAAACTGCATCAAACATAAAAAAAGGATATTCTTCACAACAAACCAGTGCACAAAAGTCAAATCATAGAACAACATTAACTATTAGAATGTTTGTAGATCGGCATTATCCAAAGAGTGATGGAGAAGCAGCTAACCTAAGTTCCCTAAGTTAACTATCAATTTGTTATCCAGTTGTACTTTTAATGTGATAAAAGGGAAATGTATTAAACGTGACCACAGAGCTATCATATTAACTCTATGTACTTAAATTTAATTAGGTATCAATGAAATGAAATCAAATGTAGCTATTGGCCTGACCTCACCCACTGTTTTAGTCAGGGTGGCTCCAGGCCAGGAAGTCTTGACAGCCCTGTTCTGGATTATAGGTCTGACTATCTCTGCCTTTCTTCCCTCCAAAATGGGGATTAGGCAGGCTATATCGAAAGGGTGGCTTATTGAAAGGGTGTATGGCTTGGAAGCATCATATATATTAAAAGATCAACCACAGTCCATAGGAGAGTTGTTTTTCTGAGAAAGTACTATCATGACAGAGAATTTTTCACTGGCACTCATGTGGAGGCTGTAACAATTGAATAGGGCCAAAGAGATCAGAAATTAAGGATCTTTTTGAGATAATTGGAAATAGATTGTGAGAGTATATTGTCAAGTATCAGTTCTGATGATCCTGGTCCTTTATAGGGATAGGAGTGGGATCCCATCTCCCCATGTACACTGACATATGTACATATACACAGGTAGTGGGGTGGGGGGTAGAAACAGAGAGAGATTCATATTCGGAATACTATTCATCCATTTCCTATTTTTTCCTTAGCATCTTTATTGTGCTTATTATCCTGCTTGCAAGGCTCCTTGTGTCAGCTTCAGCCTGATCATTTTAGGTCAGAGCAGCCACAACCCCTCATCAATAAGACCTTGAAAAATGTCAAAGAGAAACCTCATCCAGGAGAGGTATCCGCAGTCTCAGTGACAATGCTCGATTCCTTCTCAGGTCAAACAATATATAGATTTGAAGTCTGCAGATGTCTCCTTTATTCCAGCTTAGCTCATATAGAACTTTAAATGTCATGGAGGCAGCACATCCTGCTCCTGGCTTCCCTCTGGTCTGTCCGCATCTGGGAGAACTTTTCTGTAGTGCCCTTTGAGAACACTGGACATTAACCACCACATTTTTTAAAAATGGGTAACATAATTGTGGCCTTGGGAAGAAGAGAAATGAAATATTGGAGTAGTGGATAGGCTACATTAAAGATGCTCTCAGAAAACATTGGCAGAGGGCCTGCCTTAGTAGCATGACCAGGAGAAAGCAGTCCTGCCTCCAGAATGAGGCAGCTGGCCCTGATGCTTTTGTCTCTGCCAGGGACTACTCTTCTCCACTCACGAGTGCCTCAAAATACCATCGGATTTGGTCCGGCTGTGGCTGCATGAAGCGGAGAGGGTTTACTATGACAAACTTGTGGAAGACAAAGATCAAGAGACCTATATCCGGGTCATGATAGCGAATTGCAAGAAATTCTTTGAGGTGAGGGAGCTCCTGCTGCTGCTTTCCCCATCCCCACCCTCCTTCTCCTCCTCCCGTTGGGATTCCAACTGAGATTCATATGTGACTTTGGACTCAGTCAGGATGTGCTTTTCCAATATTGCTAGTTAAAGCTAATTCCCTATAGGAATATGCTTACTTTGAAAGACCATATCCAGGTTGACAGACGCTTCATTAAATTAGGGAATCTGAAATGTTATGTCTAGGTAGAACAAAGAGCCCAGCTCTCACGTGCTAACATTCTACTCTTTTCTTTAAGTTCTCTTGTGCCAAAATGCCCCTCCAGTCTTCCCTTGCAGGCTAGCCACAGAGAACTAATCCCAAAGTTTGTTTCAGTTGGTTCAAATAAATCCAAGATTAAAAAGCAGCTGATAAGCCAATAAAAAGTAGCTTCAGCTTATGTTTGTTCTGTTTTGCTTCTTTGCAGGATCTGGGTGAAAATATTATCTTTGCAAAGCCCAACATTTTTTGCCACTTTGCTCAGGGCATTGGCGAGCCAAAGTATTTGCCTGTTTCTAATGTACAGAGTTTGAATAAGCTGCTTGTGGAAGCCTTGGATAGCTACAACGAGGTCAATGCGGTGATGAATTTGGTGAGTGAAATGCAGCTGAGCCAGAGAGAAAATGTGGCTGCTGAACACATGGAGCAAGGATAAACTAACTAGTGCCTGTACTACAATTCCCGTAATACAAAGGCTTTAACTATGATAGCTTAGAGGTATAACAGTTCTAGTCCAAAATTTAAACATTTGGAGGAGACCAAGTTGCTTCTTTCTAGTAAAGGCATTATTTTTTTATTTAAACTAGCCTTCCTTACAGGATCCATTTCCTACTTGTTCTAGCTGGGACAAGCTATTGCATCACATTCAGATAACACAGCAACTCCCAAACCACAGAAAGATGCTTGTAGTCACAGCATTCACCAGTGGTGGAAAGAATCAGGTACAAATTAGTACTAAGCATCATTGGCTACATCATGTCACCCAAACACTCTTATGCCCTAACCAACAGAGTTTTCCTTCTGTTTTTATTGTTTACTTCCTACACTTGTCTCCCCCATTAATCTCATAATTAGTGAATTTTGAAGCAAGTTTGAATAATTCTGTAATTTTACAGGCATGGCTAATTTTCTTGGGCTCCATGCCTTAAAAAATGGAATCAGGAAAAAAAATAATCATGACTCCTTGGAATCCTGCCAAATATCCAGAGTTATACAAGGCTGAGGGTAATGGGAATGAAATTAGGGTTTGGAGTTGGTGAATAATTAAAAGACACAACAGTAAATTAGATGATGGAAATTGGAGGATGGGTCAGTGGCCGGGATAAAAATGTTGTATGGACTGTTTTTATTCCCCAAACTCAGGAGCATCAATTAGGATAGGATTCAGATTAGGATGAGGATCAGCCGTGAGTAAACTTTCTGTAGCAGACACTGCAATTAAGATTTTGGGCGAAAACAAAGACTACTGTTGGCTGGGTGGTGAAACAAGGGGGTGGAGTCAGGGGTGTTAAATATGTTGCCCTATCTTAGGGATTATACTATACTACAGTTTTTGCTTTGTTCATCACTTAAAATGCTACTGATTTTCAACAATTGTGGTTGGAGAGGGCTCTGGGAACCACCGAAAGGGAACCACCAAAAATGCAGCCCTGGGCCTCAGGTTTGCCTGCCTGCCCCTCTTGTACAGAGGTGGAATCTAATTTTATTGTTCTGGTCAGTTCCATGCTGTTGGGGTGAAAGCTAGGAACAAGCCTTCCTTGCCTATTGCAGGTGCTGTTTGAAGATGCTGTGTCCCATGTCTGCAGGATCAATCGCATCTTAGAGGCTCCCAGAGGCAATGCTTTGCTAGTGGGGGTTGGAGGCAGCGGCAAGCAGAGCCTGTCTCGACTGGCTGCCTATATTAGCTCCCTGGATGTCTTTCAGATCACTCTGAAGAAGGGCTATGGCATTCCAGACCTCAAGGTGAGGACAATTTATCCAGGCATATCTTGACAAATTTCAAAAATGGTAGAAAGAGGCCAAAAACTGAAGATAAATGCCGGGCACAGCTACCTGGCAAGTTATCTATTGTAACCCAAACCAGCATTTCTGAGTACATCATTATTCGCGTGCTGTGATGCCACGTATCATAGGATACTTCTAGAAATAGGAACTTGAGACCTTTCTACCTAAAATGGACAGGAAGCTAAGGGAGAAGCACAGGATTATAAAACAGGAGGCATCAAGGAATATAAAAGAAGGGTTATTCTATTCAATTCATTGAAAAGATCAAGATAAGGCCTGCAGAGTTGTGGATGTAGACCAGGGATGGGTAGCCTTTTTATGGCAGGAAGCATGGCAGTGACATGGAGACATCACCAAAGTGGTGGATCCAAAATTATTATTTTCTTGTCTTTTTTAAAATGAGTGGGGGAAGTGATGTGTTTAGCCCAGAGGAGCCTTAATATCAATTTATACTGTTGGATTTCCTACCTTCCCACTCCCAGAATCAATTGTATTGCCAAATGTCCTCATTTTGCTGCCAAATCATATCAGCACAGGGAGTTGCGCATGCAGCTGCAAAAATAGGGTTAGGGGATTGCACGAGGTATGAGCTGTGGAGGCTATACATCCCTGCTGTAAACCAGAAACTGGTTGGTATGTGATAGGAGGTTATTTTTGTACACATCATGCCTACTGATTGTAAACCTTCCTGCAACGGGTTTGTGGAATTAAGCCATTTCTGCATCTTGCATGCTTTCCTAACTTCTTTTGGCTTTTGGAGTTGACCGTTGCATTTTGGTCCTGATCAGCGCTCAGGGACAATCCTCCAGAATAGCCTGTTTTAACCTGGTGCCTTCCGGATGTCTCAGGAATAAAACTTCCAAACTTCCCAGTCAGCATTTTCTTTTCCATGCTGGGAGTTCTGGGAGATGTATGTTCAACGCATTTTGAGAGCCCTGGGCCAGGGAAGGCTGCATTGCGCCAGCCTGTTTGGGAAATGTAAAGGCGGCACCTAGGGACCATCAGGGAGTATGCTGGTGGCTTTCACATAAATTTATTGGCAGAGACAACGTTAGGTAAGGTTGATTCAGAGTCAGAACCATTCACATATTCAGTTATTCTAGTTCACAGAAATGACTGTGATTTTGGAAATGAAATGTTGTTCTAAATATCATCTAACCAGCTTCCATAATAGAAACATTTTCTATATCAAATTTGGGATTTTTGAAATAGTTCAACCCTAGAAAAAGGAGAAAGGATGCTAAACTGACAAGAATCTGTTCTGATTCAGGCTGATCTGGCTTCCCAGTACATCAAAGCTGCTGTGAAGAATACCCCTACCGTTTTTCTTATGACCGACTCACAGGTTGCTGAAGAGCAGTTTTTGGTTTTGATCAATGACTTCTTGGCATCTGGTGAGATCCCAGGGCTATTTCAGGATGATGAAGTAGAAAATATTATTGGCTCCATGAGGCCTCAGGTAAAATCAATGGGCATGCAGGATACTCGTGAAAACTGCTGGAAATTCTTCATCGACAAAGTCCGAAAACAACTAAAGGTAAGATGTTGGACTAGGAAGACTTAGGTTCAAATCCCATTCAGCCATGAAGTTTACTGAATTATTTTGGGCTAACCAGTGACCAGGGTCATGTACTGGCTTACACCATTATATGGTTTGCTGGCTTGTACTAAGCATTATGAAGTGAAGGCACTGGGGTTTGTAAATCATGGTTTATGGGTTAACAATGAGTGAACACTGCCACCATTCACAGCCTAACCTACCTCACAGGAATTTTTGTGAAGATGAAATTGGAAGAGATGGAACTGTGCACTCTACCTTTTTCCCTTAGAAGAAAAGTCGAATATGTATGCAATTAATAATATCCTAATAATATCCTTTATTATTGCATGCCTGATGGAAGGAGAAGACATTTAATCTTTTTTTGTGGTGGGGGGGATAGTTGATTCAAAGAAATATTAGCTTCTGTTTTGTGCCATATGGGAAGGTGATAAGATATGAACCTGCTTTAGCCAACACTTGGTGTTATATAAGCAAAGGCAGGAATATTTACAGTATTCACTCTAACAGGGGAAGTAGTTTTCAAGTGTAAATATGATATACAGAGATTTACAGGGACTCCCCAATAACATTTGAGAAGAAAAAGCTCTTAAGTAATTAATAGTTATGATTATGCACATTGAAGGGTCTTCACTCCCTCCCCAGGTAATCCTCTGTTTCTCTCCTGTGGGATCTACTCTCCGTGTGAGGGCCAGAAAGTTTCCTGCTGTAGTGAACTGCACAGCTATTGACTGGTTTCATGAATGGCCTGAAGATGCCTTGGTGTCTGTCAGTGCAAGATTCCTAGAGGAGATTGAAGGGATTGAGGTATGCATCCACTTTCAAAACAGTAGACACTGTGTACTCCCAACATCTCTTGGCATTGAATAGAACCATTTTTCCCAATGTTCTATTATTGTTTTGGTTTTTTCTGCCTAGATAGTCTTATTCTTGGATGTGTTTCAAAAGGCATTCTCTCTGTCTCTTCAGACCACGGTGAGCAACCCATGCTCCCCTCCCAAACCTTAATTACAATCCCCAGAGCCAATCTAAGCTTTGTCACCACATTGTTAATGTTAACATGACAGAAGTTGAAAATCCTTTCTGTCCCAGCCCTTCTTACTTCTTGTTCTGGTTCCATGCAGAAAATCTTGATGTGATAAAGATCAAGTGTGGCCCTCAGCCCAAAAAGGAGGACAGTCTCGGTAGATGGCAGCACCTGTTCAAAGTGGTCTGGATTAGGAAACTAAGCAGGGTCAGATCACTAGGAAATATCAGTGTGTCTCTCATGACCAACCATTTTTTCAGCAATTTATAGAAGGATTGACCAAAAAATGCATGTCAGATTGATTAGTTATGTACCATCAAGTTGGTATACATTCTTAATGACCACCTAGATAGTTTTTTTCTATGATGATCTGTCCCCAACCTGGTCCTTCAGGTCTTCCAACTGTGCACCCATTGCCACTGTAACTGAATCCATCCACCTTGGTGCTGGTCATCCTCTTCTTCTCTTTCCTTCCACCTTTCCCAGCATTACACACTTTTCCAAAGAGCTGGGTCTTTGCATATTGTATCCAAAGTAGAATAATTAGAGCCTGGTCATTTGTGCCTCAAGTGAGAACTCTAGGTTGATTTGTTTGATGATCCATTTGTTTATTTTCTTAGCTGTCCATGGTATTCTCAGGAGTCTTCTCCAACGCCAGCATATCAGATTGAAGACCATTATTTTGCTCAGAGTCTGTCTCTCTGCTTCAAATAATCATTTAAAATATAAAGCAGCGCTTCAGGGGTGGCAACCTTTGCCCTTCCCAAATGTTATTAGCCTTAGGGCATTTCCCCACAGGTACATAACCACATCAGAAACATATCCTAGTACATCTTTTGTGTCCCCATGGTGAAGCCTTTTAACTTCTAGCCAGTATGGTCTACATCCCCTGCCTTTTTGATGAACACAGCATATAATGATAGAAAATTATGTAAAATAAATATGGAATATATATTTATTGCATGCAAATCTGTTTTCATAAACGCAACATATACATTAGAATTTAATTCTAAATACGTTTACTTAGAAATAAAGCCTATAGAGCTTGCTTACTTTCTTGCAAATGTTAATAGAATTGCCCAAAGGACAGGAAATCTTGGAAACAGATTTGATGAAAACAAGGAAAACCTTTAGTTTTAATTTTAAAAACTGATATTGTTTGCCTAGTTACCAATTGTCCAACCTTGGAAAGAACTGTGACTGCCTCTCTACTAGCTGTTGCAGGACTGTGGTGCCAAGATGGATGTTTTCTACATAAGCAGTGATATATTCCATGACTCTTTCTATCATTATGTCTCTCTTTTATGTTATAGTCTCTGCTTCACATAGTGTTGGCTTGAAATCTACCACTTTATAGATTTTGGCCTGGAGCTTTTGTTTCCTGGAAAGAGCATGATACATTTATTTATTTTTCTTTTGACGCATATTCCAGATTTTTAAAAACTGCAGCATAAGCCCAATGTAATTTTATTTGTGTACAGCATTAACATCAGTGTTCTCTTGGGACCTGTCAAAAATGCTAATATTGACCAGAGCCTTTATGTCTGTGTTCCTTTGCTGTACATGCTTTCTCCTCCTGAGTACATTTAGTATTAATAGATTCTGTTTCTTATACCACAGTGTTTATATCAGATTCTTAGAGAAAGGAACGGGGCACACAAAACCTCAAGTCCTCAGAATAACATTAATTTATCGACTGCATGTCATGGTGGAATTTGAAGCTAGCATGTCCAAAACTTAATCAGGTATAAAACATGCACTCTCTGAGTTGCCTGTTTCTGATACGGCATCTCCCAGGACATGCAGTTTTAATGTTACCAGGTTCACTGACATTAGGCAGAGATAGGAAAATAAATAAATAAAATAAATGGGACTTTTTAAATTCAAACTTGGACAAATGCTTGCCTTTGCTCCATGCTCAGTATGCTCATTGTATACAATCTGAACTGATTCCAGTTAATTAACTGTATTTTATTCTTTCCTCTGAAGTGACCAAAAGAGTTTAGAAGAGAGAGCAAGAGAGTAGTAAATTTGTGAAGGTGTTGAATTAGGAGAAATGAGGCCCAGGTTCAAGCCCACTTTCCAACATGGAACTTCACTGGGAGAGAGCCCCCATCCCACAGCATCATTGTTGTGGAGAAAAATGTTGGAGGAAGGAAAGGTGAAATATAAATAACAAAACAGTAAAATTGATAAGTGAAGCTCCTTCAAGTCAGCAAATGCAGACCTTCAGAACAGTTGGAAAAGCTATTTGGCAGAGTCAACCAACTCCATTCAAATAATTTCCCATTATTCCCTGTTTGGCATCCAGTTTGCCTCCTTTAGGCAAATGTAGCTTTATCAAGTAGCAGTTGGGCCTGGGACTTGCTCAGGAGGGAAATTCCCGTAATTGCCTGTATGGAAATGTGTGGATTTTGTTACAGCTAATGAAAAAATTAAAACTATATAATAAAGTCTTAATTTAATGAAGATAATGATAAGCAAATAACTTCTAAATTACAAAAAGAAAAGTAGGGAGGAAAAAAGGGAGAACCAAGTTGCTGTTGCTGATGTTCTCTGGTCCTTCTTGCAGCCTGAGGTTAAAACCTCCATCAGCCTGTTTATGTCCTATGTCCATACAACAGTCAATGAAATGTCCAAGATCTACCTGGCCACTGAAAGGCGCTATAATTATACCACCCCGAAGACCTTCCTGGAACAGATCAAACTTTACCAGAACCTCCTAGCTAAAAAAAGAAAGGAACTGATTGCTAAAATTGAGAGGCTGGAGAATGGCTTAATGAAACTCCAAAGTACGGCTTCGCAGGTTTGTGGGCAAATTGGATGTTCTTGATCGCAGCAATTTTCAAATCTCAACGTGGGGATGCTGTTGGCTGCCTACAGAGCATTATCATGTAGTGACTGGTTATTTCATTTCATGTTTAACAAAATCTATCTAGAAAGTGTCTTGGCTGCTCTATTTTAGTCTCGGAGGATTCGTGAGCGATGCAAATATTCTCTGTTTTGTTTAGTCTTGAAATTCCATTTTGAGATAAAAGATACTCTATAGGGAAATGATTTTTTTCCAATATCATGCTACATTCTCCAGTAATATGCTAAAATTAATTATTTGTACATAACTAAAAGCTTTTCCAGATGAGCAACCATATTCAGCCACCACCTTTAATCCACTGCCTAAAGTTCCCTGAAAATGATATACTGCCTGGAGCTGAGTAATTTCCACCCCACCCCTCTGCCCTTTTTAAATAGCCAAAATCAGTTAAGGAGGTAGGCAGCCTGAATACCATAGCAGAAGAATGGAGATAGAGAAAGGCTGCTTAATGTAATCCCCTGATTATCGGGGAGGGGGGAGGCATTCAAAATCCCCCTCTAAAAGCTGCTGCAATGGACGGAATCTTCACTGTTTTCTTGTATCTTATTGGGGGGCGGGGGGAGGCAAAAGACTAGAGGAGAAAAGACGCTTCCATACAGGGATTCTACACTAGTTTGAAAGCAATTTCTGTCCCATGCAGTCTCTTGACATTAACAGGACTGGAGAGTTGGGCTGATTTACCTCCAGCTCAATGTAATTGAGCCAGTGGCAAATTTTGTTTTGCTTTTGTTTTCCTTTGTTTTTTAAGATGCCGTGGCTCCATTTCCTCTTTAGAGGGAACACTCGCCTCACCCCTCCTGGTTCCTGAACTTAGGTCCTGTAATGGGAATGCTACCTTGACGGCTTTACACTACTGAGTGCAAAACTGACTGCAAAACCCCGCAAAACTAATAAGGATTGGTCTGCTGGATGAGCAGACTTCAAAGAGCCAAGCTCCTGGGGGGGTTGAGTTTCACTCCTTGTTTTTGGCATTTCATGTTGCCAGCCATTGAAGATAGTCACAAATCCTCTTCAGATTGCTTTTGAGGACGTGGCATGGAAATGGTGGGATTATGGAATTGTCCTTATTGCCTGAGTTGGTTTTGGCTCCAAAGAAAAGCAGAACAGGAAAAAAAAAAAAAGCCATATGCAATATACCATTTAAGAACATCCTGTCTCTGGGCTCTTTTTGTCTTCTTAAAAGCAGCCACACGTGAGTCCAGTTTGGCTGGTGAAAAGCAGCTTCACTTTTTCCTCTTGCAACTCTTTCTGAATTTAACCAGCCTCCTAGAAGATGTTATTAATTGCAGATAAGACAAGAATTCTAAGCCAGCCATGCAGAGTAGGCAGGAGCACTCAAGCATTACACTTACAGGATGATTTTACTTGGTCTGCTTGGAGGAGGTGACAGGTGCTGAGATTTCCTGAATATGTACTAGCACTGTTCGGGATAAATATTTTTTTATATTTTACTAGGATGTACTGGAAGTTATGCTGAGATGTTACCCACCATTTTTTCTGAAGGTGTAAGTTATGTTTTAGGTATGCCAATGTCTCACAATCTACTTCATCCTTGTTTACCTCTTTTTCTCCCTTCCTGATCTGCAGCTTTATTTTTTATTTTAAGAACAACTATTCTCTGAAATGATCCCATGCAATCAGAAATCATGGAGGAAGCATGATTATGTCAAGTTGTACCATCGGGCATTCTTCCTTTGGGATGAAAAATGCTATAGCTATAAAATTATTATTATTATTTTAGATAGATAGATAGATAGATAGATAGATAGATAGATAGATAGATAGATAGATAGATAGATAGATAGATAGGTATCACATACCTATCACTAGCTGGATATATATTGGTGTTGGGAAGCCATCTCAGGGTGAAGGTAATACCTTTTGCTCTGACTCTAAATGGACAAACCGTTTTAATCCATTTCTGAGGGACTAGAAAAGTAATTGCAAGAGGCCAATGTGTTTCATCAGGAGTAGTTATAAAACATACATATCTTGTTTCAGCTCCATTTTAGAGTTTGTTTTCCTGCTGGACTTTGTAGGTTGACGATCTGAAAGCCAAACTTGCTGTTCAGGAGCTAGAGCTTAAGCACAAGAATGAAGATGCTGACAAACTGATTCAGGTGGTAGGAATTGAAACAGATAAAGTGAGCAGGGAAAAAGCAATTGCTGATGAAGAGGAACTCAAAGTGCAAGTCATTAACATGGTAGGATTTTTTTTCTGATTTTGAATTGACAGGGGCTTACACTGTAAAAGAGGAGGAAAGAGAAAGTTGCCAGTTAACCAAAGAATGCATATGGAGGCCTATGCAAGAACCAAGTACTTCCCTGAGACACATTTTCTATCTATTACCCTTGAAGGAACTACACGAGACTTGCTTTGCTTTGCTTTAATTCCTGGCATCTTTTTTTTAACCATGTGAGGACCTTAATTGCCAGTGGTTTATTACTTCCAGTATCATCATCAGTAGTTTCTGATAATGTAAGCCAAGTCAGAGATCCACTTCATAGAAATGTAGAGTTGTGGTGGAATTCAGGTGTCACCACCATTGGCTGCCCAGGATAGCTTTCTCCGACAGAGATGAGTTAGACCCTAGCTCCCATAATCTCTAACCAGTCACTTTAACATTAATTATCTGTATAACCCACAATAGTTCTTTAATCAGTTGCTATTTGCCCCAAGTTCCATTAACTAGTTTTGCTCATTGGGAGACACTGTATTGGGAGAAGAGGTCGTAATTTTTTAAAAATAAGATGAGATGCTTTAAACAAATATGAGAAATTTACATTATTGATGGATTTGCTGCAGCGCACCCTGTTACCTTAAAAATACTAAAGAATTTAGCCATTAAAGTACCCATTATTCCCTGCAAATCCACTCCTAACATACACTCTCTTCAATATGTACTGAAGCACTGAAAACTGCATGAGGATGGAGAGATAGTATGGATCACTTCAGAGCCACCATCTCTTTCACTATTTTCTGCTTGTGATTCTCTTTACTTGGTAATTCCTCTGAATTCATTCATTAGGTATTCTAAAAGCCCAGCTCTCTTTTTATGAAATTTCTGTTACCAAGCTTCTGAAATTGCTCACAGCCCATGTTCACAAATTACTCTCTTTCTTAGCATTCCTTATGTAACAAATGATGGGAAGGGAATCTTGAGGTGATCTGAATCTCAGAATTTTAAAGCTGGAGTAACAAATACATTTGCATAAATAGCTTTGATGAACATTCATATTTCCTTCCCCAGAATGTATCAGAAAAGCAAAGGGCTTGCGAAACTGATTTGGCTAAAGCTGAACCAGCACTGATTGCTGCTCAGGAAGCTCTGGATACTCTCAATAAGGTAAAATCCTTTAGCTTTTCAACCAGCAGTGTGATATACTCTGTTTCAAGATGTGATTGATTAAATAGATAAATATACTTCTATTTTTATGAAGGAAGATCAGAGAGACAGAAGTGCAGTCTGGATAATTGATTCCTCTTACAGGAACCGTTTCCAGGCCCCATCAATTGAGAAATTGCAGAGTTTCTCATGTTTTGAAACTGCAAATAAACTCTTGAAATAAATAGTTCTTGTTCAACAAAAGATGAAGTGAAAAACCTAAAAAGTTCAGTTAGCCTGAGGTTATTCTACATACCAAGACTCCAAGATCCCTTCTAGACTGAGCTCGTGTCCTGGAAGGCTTTATCAAGGACTCTGATGGAGCTGGACAGACAAAGAAGCACTCTTTGAAGTACTGCTCCAAAATTCTGTAGATCCCATACTCCAATAGAAGAGAACATCTGTACCTCCAGGCTGAACTGGGGAGTCCTTGGTGCTGTCTGAGCTTGGTTGTTTGCTTGCAAACGTTTCACTACCTGACTAGATAACATCATCAGTGTGAGTGAGTGTGGGGTTTGCTCCCTGTTTATATACAGTAGCTTGCCCTGCCAGTTTTGGTGGGGGTGTGGTTTCCTTCTATTGGAACTGCATATGAGTGTCAATTGCTTCAGAAAGCACACAAATGGGAGAAATTTGTATGTATGCAAATCTCCACCAAGGAACAACTATTATTTCTGCATGAAAGCCTACAACAGCATGCTCTGCCCACCACTGTCAGATACAAACCTCCAATAAATTGCACAGCTGGATGGAAAATAGCTCAACAAAGCAGCCAAAAAATGATACAACTAATGATCATGGATGCTCATCTCAGACTAAACAAATACCAGCACACCATAGATAACCTCAAGGAGCAACTGGAACAAACCATGATCCCAGAACACACAAAGATGCTGACAACCACCATCAAGACTATATCTCTAAGACAAGCTGAACAAAGGAAAACAAAACTCTAAACCGAACTGCTCAAGCTAAACTCCAGAAGCAAAGAGGTACCTGAACCCAAATGGTTAGTCAACATGTCCAGCCCCCCACTATCCACGGCAGAACACAATATCCTCCAGAAAGGTCTCAACTACAACATAGACAATACTGATGTTAGAATTCTGTGCAACCTTAGAAGCAGCATTTAAAACTTGCCACAGAGACCCAAGAAAAGATAAGGCAGATAATCATACCACAGACCAGAAGAACACAGAAGCAGAACCAACTCAAAGCCGTGGACAGAGCAGCCCTCAAAAACCTAAAGAAGGACTAAACAATCATCATCCTCCCAGCAAACAAAGGTCAAACCGTAGTTATCATGGACAGAACACAATGCATACAAAAAGCCAAAGAATTATTGGAGGACAAAGAAACCTACATCCCAGTAAACACCAACCCAATATAGGAACTGGGCCATCTGATCAAGAGAACCCTCAATGACCTAACCAAGAAAGGTCAAATTACAAAAGAAGAACAGTGGCAGATGAAAAGCAGTGGACCCATCCTCCCACACTTCTATGGATGCCCAAAATTACGTAAGCCCAACATACCTCTTCATCCAACTATATTGTTACCAGGGACCTTAGTGTCACAAATGCGCTGCAGCAACTAAGAACACCAGGAAAAGGAAACAGATCACCTATACAACGTCTTCCAACAAAATGGATACCCACGCAACTTTATCAAAAAGTGCCTGACCATTCAACCCACAACAGCACAACCAACACAAGTTACGAAAAAGATAACACTACCATACATCAAGAACATCTCAGAAACAACCAACAGGCTATTACAACCACACAGCATCACTATAGCACACAAACCAACTAAACCCCTCCAAAACATCTTAAGTAAACCAAAAGACCCAGTAGC